CTGAGGCCCGTGTCCCCTCCGCGCTGCGGGGAAGGCCCGGTAGCGTGTCCTGACGGTGCGTGCACCGTCCCCACCGCGTACCGCTGGTCAGAGAAGGGTGTTAATGAGATGGGGGTGTTCGGCATTGGTGCTTGTTTTTGTGAGAAGTCATGTGTGGAGGACGCTTAACACGGCGTTACTGGTGTGACCGAGCGATGCAAACCGCGTTGGAGAACCGTGCTTCTCAAATAGTATTCATCTGTAAGGCGCTTTTTTTTCTTTTTTCTGTTACAGGGGAAAAACCAAAATGGCATCAGGGACAGTAGCGAATGCAGCTCCTTCAGGAGGATCAAACGATGTGAGCCTGGAGGAACCAAAGAAGATGACAAGGGAAGACTGGAGGAAAAAGAAGGAATTAGAAGAACAAAGAAAACTAGGAAATGCACCTGCTGAGGTGGATGAAGAAGGAAAGTAAGTTTTATTAAAGCTAGAGTTATTCTAAAGCTACTGGTTAAACATGTTGCTTTTCCTGTTGTGATGACAGAATAATCACAAGGGTGATAGAAGATTACTGCATGAGTAGAAGTTGTAATATTGTAGAAGTAAATAGTTGAACTTTGTGAATTTGCTTGTAACATTCCAGCCATCCCCAGAAAACATCATAGAATCATAGAATGATCCCCAGAAAACAGATATTTTCCCAAAAAATGTAGGTTCAATGTTTTATCTACTGTGATCTATTGACAGTGCTGCTAAAAAGTCCCATCTATGCAGCTACTTACCAGTGGTATTTCAGAAGTGACCAAAACGTAGTTCTGGGGAACTTTACTGCATACCTTATCTGTTGCTTCTACAAGGCTCGTTGCATCTGAGAAATGTTACTATTTTTGTGCTCAGTAACATTGCATAGAATAAGGTATTTGGTTTGGAGTCAGGAGTGTAGGTGAATTAGATGGCAACAAAATCTCAATGGAAGTCTATGTTTATCTAGTTAAATTACAGGTTATTTTGCAATGCATTGCAACAACTTTGCTATTTTATTGTCACTCCAAAAGCACTGAACTAAACATCAGAGTTACCTGTTAGGCTAAGTTGTGTTTTTTTTTCCCTATGCCATGTATTTATTACACAACATCTTTTACAGAGATATCAATCCTCATATTCCTCAGTACATATCCTCAGTACCGTGGTACATAGATCCTTCTAAAAGACCTACCCTAAAGCATCAGAGACCTCAGCCAGAGAAGCAGAAACAGTATAGCTCCTCTGGAGATTGGTACAAACGAGGAGTTCAAGAGGTATGCAAAATGTTTTTGTTGTAGAACAAAGCTTTGGTTCAATTCTGTGAGGAAGTAGTTTCTGATTACATGTTTTTGAGGGTGATGGAAGCTGGGAATTCTTCCTCAGCAGGCAAGTCACAGTGTCTGGTAACAATCAAAATGTGTTCTGGGTTTGGGTAGACCATGTGCACTTTAGTTGTATTGAAAAAATGAATTTGTTATCAGGAACACATATATGAGTCTTGCCTCAAGGTTGTACAACACTGTCTTTTTTTGTTGTTTAGCATGCTATAGCAACTAGATATCGTAAAGGAGCGTGTGAGAACTGCGGTGCATTGACACACAAAAAGAAAGACTGCATGGAGGTAAACTTGACTTTTGCTGATTTTTTTAATGGTTTTGAATACTATGAATTCTAATCTTAGTGAAAAATAGCTAGCTATAGATAAAAAAAATACTAGTTTTGAAAAAGTTTGCAAGTATTAAGTGGCTTGAAAATTTTTAAAGAAATTGTTAGGGAAAATGAAGGGAAAAAATGATACTATTTTACTCATCAATTCTGTTTGTGATAAGTGCTGCAATAATAGGTGAGAATGTTTAGCTCTTGATTTGCTTTAACTCAAGTGCTGCTGTGGCTGTCTTTTTCTTTCATATTCTCTAGAAGCCATCCCCAGAAACTATTTAATTGCTTTCTTAATTCTGGAAAATAGAGTTAGAAATTGATAGGGTTTGGAGTCAGTTGTGCTACTTTAAAATACAGAAATTAACTACTTGCATGTATTTACAGTTCACGGGCTTGACTGGTTTTAGAGGAGCTCGATTGATACTATTTTTAAAGGGACATCTGAGTGAGTGACATATTTTCATCTAATGCACTGGTCCAACCATATTTTTTTTTATTTTCAGAGACCCAGGAAAGTTGGAGCAAAATACACAGGCATGAATATTGCACCAGATGAACATGTGCAGCCTCAACTGATGTTTGATTATGATGGAAAGCGAGATCGTTGGAATGGTTATAACCCAGAAGAGCACATGAAGATTGTAGAGGAGTATTCCAAGGTTGACTTGGTACGTAGGTGCTGTGGTTTACTGAGGAGAAGTTCAGTGTTTGGCTTGGCTGGGAGGATGAACATTTGTTACGTGCACTGTTAATATCAGACCTTGTGCTGTATTCATAATGAAAAAGCGAGGTGAATTCTGTGTTTGATAGCAAACTTCGCTTAAACTGAAAATTCAGATCAGAACTGGTTAATGAGTACGGGTCTGTACAATAAATGAAATGTCTCTCCAGATCACTTGTTTTTGAATAGACAAGCCTTAGAATTTATTCCCCAAAATGCAGATTGAATTGCAGGCAAGAAAGGAATTTATTATCTGGCTGTATTAGAGCAGATTTTACCATTGTAAATAACAGCAGTTACAAGCAATGCTTATGCTACACACTTGCTATTAAATGTTAAAACAAATGCATTCTTACCATACGCAGGCCAAACGCACACTGAAAGCCCAGAAGCTTCAGGAGGAGTTGGCATCAGGAAAGCTGGAGCAAGTGGTAAGTAAACTAAACCCTAATTCATTTTTGTTTTGGCCGAGTAAAAATGCAATGGGTTACTTCTGCTCTCTGGTGCTTTTATTCTCTCTACAGGGTCTGCTGTTGTTTTTATGCCCCTTTTTTTTGGTTACTTGAAGGCTGAGCACATGTATTTCCATCTGGCTTATAACTCTGCAGAGTTTGCATCTTCCACTAAGTTCTACAGGCTCCTCTTACAAAATTCTAGTTTTAAAAGGCATTTCTGATAATGTTCTAAGTTTATCAAATGAGGAAAAGTAGAGACTGCTACTGGTCGGAAGTCGTTTTTTTAATCAATAATTGGGCCTCCACTTCCAGAGGTTGTCACCCTGCCTGTTGTCACTAGATGGCAGAGTGAACTTGAGCGCCAACCCAGCACAAACTACCGCGTCCTGACCTTCCCCATAGAAAAGATTCTTTCTCTTTTTTATGCCTGTTTTCGCCACAAGGCAACCTTTGCTGGCTTCCATATACTTATTCCTTATAAAATGGAGCCGTAAGAAGAAAAGTATGTTTGAAACATAACAACTGTCTCTGATGGAGAGGACCGAGACTGATTTGCGTAGTCCATGCTGGCCAATTCGCTGGTCAGTCTCCCAGGACTCACAGTTGCTTCCATCTTTACCACTGCAAGTATTCTGAAATTAAAGGCTAAGCAGATTAAAAAAATTAATTCTGGCTGTTTGTCTAGATTAAATTATTGCTTCTAATTCATGCTCAGTATTCCTGTCAATCCTAACTAAATACTTGTATACATACCTTTTCTTTTTTTTTTTTTAAGCTTTCAGAGTTGAATCTTGGTTACATTGCACGATATGAAATATTCTAGTCTAAACCGGTAGCGTTCAGAGGCATAGCAAGCTCTAAATAACAATGACAGTTCTAGAATTTGCTGTTCTGGCAAAGTCTTGGGAGTTTAGTTGGGAATACAGTGAAAAGGTCTCCAACGTGTGTCTGTAATAGCTCTTTCCTAGAACGTTATATAGCAGTCTTTGTGCATTTTGTGCCACAGGTAAATTGTATTTTGCATCCAGCATCAAGCTCTGCTTTGTTTGCTCTTTATATTGCTGCCATCTTTCCTCTCTCCACTATCTTGTCTTCTCTGCTGATGTGCTCTTTGTTTGCTGCAGAACTCCCCAAGACACCAGTGGGGAGAAGAGGAACCAAATTCACAGACAGTAAGATAATTACCCACTGCATCACACCATGGCAGAAAAAGGGACCTGTAGTTAGTGCAGTAGCGAAACAAGGGTGGCATAAAGATTTCAATGTTGGGTTCACGCCACTGGCTGCCTGGTCTTTTGGGCAGAGGTTGCTGGATTTTATAGAGGGGTTTTGGGGTTTATTTTAACTCCTGTGTGTTGTCAAACCTTAGAGTCACAAGCAAATAAGTAGTTTTTAATATGTGGTATATTTTGCCCGAGATAACTGTTTTCTGAATGTCATCACAGTTATGTTTTTGTAACTGTTTCCATATGAGCAAGTAGAACTTCTTTAACACGTATTTCTGAAAACTGTTGAATATTAGATTAGCTGTTGCTAACATGACAGCACTCTTAAGCTCAAGTAAACGAGTTACTTGCTAACTCGTTTAAAAGTGCTAACTTTTAACCATGGGGATTGCAGATTTTTTTAATGAAACCACTAAAATCAGATTCTCGTACTTACCTCTAGAGTGAATGTCCTCTTTTATTTAGAAGTTTCCATCTCTCCTCAGGAAAGAGATCATAACAGTGAAGATGAAGATGAAGACAAATATGCAGATGACATTGATATGCCTGGGCAGAACTTTGACTCTAAAAGACGTATCACAGTTCGAAATTTACGTATTCGGGAAGATATTGCAAAAGTGAGTAAAGAATTCTTTACAGATGTTCTTTTGTATTCATGAGAGTTAATTTCAAAAAATTTTACTCAATTATTAATGAGTTTGCATATGAGTCTTGGGGTTTGGAGGTTAAGGTCTCTACTTAGTTCTATTCCTGCTTATGTTATAACTTCAAAGTCATCATTTTATACAGATGTACCTTTTTAAAATGTCTAAGCTGGGAGATACAGCAGTAACTTCAGTTCCCTTAAAATCGTAAATATCCAATATCTTGTGTATTGTTTTCTTTATGAGGAATCTAGATCCCAACTCTGCTTATTATGATCCTAAAACGAGAGCAATGAGGGAGAACCCATATGCCAACACAGGCAAGAATCCAGATGAGTAAGTTAAAACAGGGTCATACCTGTGTATCCACAAAACTCTGTTAAATATGAGATTGCTTTAATAGTTTGGTATTTTCCTGCATCTCTATGTCCTTTTACTAATGAATGTCTGGTTAGTTATGGATAGAAGTAGTAGTAAACACAGAAAAATTGTTTTATTTAGCAGCACTTTTTGTTTTAGTATATAAAAGTGGCATTTTAGTCATATTGGCCCTTAATCTTCAGGGATATGTGGACCACCATTTACTGTAATGATCTGTAGAAGGATTAGAACACTGCTGTCTCTAGAGGTGATACCTTAAACAATAATGATGTTTATGTAAAGTATTTTAGTAACCAAATCTTAAAACTTCATCCTTTGTTTGCTGAGAGGCATTCAGCACTGGAGACTAGCATGGACTATCTGTGATATCTGAGTAAATGCCTGAATTAGGAGCAAAAGCTCCTCATGTGTTAATGGAGTCTGCATGGAAAAGGTCTGAAAGCTTTGCGATGTCTAGACAGACAACTTAGAATCATAGAACGGTTTGGGTTGGAAGGGACCTCAAAGGCCATCTAGTTCCAACCCCCCTGCCATGGGCAGGGACACCTTCCACTACAGCAGGTTGCTCAAAGCCCCATCCAGCCTGGCCTTGAACACTTCAAGGGATGAGGCATCCACAGCTTCTCTAGGCAACCTGTTCCAGTGCCTCACCACCCTCACAGTGAAGAATTTCTTCCTTATATCCAATCTAAATCTCCCCTCTTCCAGTTTAAATCCATTGCCCCTTGTCCTATCACTACACCCCCTTGTAAAAAGTCCCTCTCCAGCTTTCCTGTAGACCCCCTTTAAGTACTGGAAGGCTGCTAGAAGATCACCCCGGAGCCTTCTCTTCTCCAGGCTGAACAGCCCCAACTCTCTCAGCCTATTCTTCTTAATTAAAGAATGCCACAGGCTGGCTTTTGGCTGCACGTCAGGCTGTCTCACTTAAAACCCGAGTCAAGCACTGGAGCAGTGGCCCTGCCGTGACGTGTGTGGTGCTGGGGACTTACAGAGCAGACAGGCTGTGAGCAGAAACATGTATTCGGAGTACAGGAATTGGATTAGCTCGCTGCCTGAAATAGAACGGCTGTGCCTAAACGCTACCAAATAATGCTCTTTCCACAGCTAGAATAATGCCAGTCAGTTCTCTTTTTTTAGATGCAGATGCTTTCAGTTCTCTCCCGAGTCACAATTTGACCTGTGTTGAATCTGCGTTTCTGCCGCAGCTTTGCAGACTGTAAATTTTCTAGAGTGGCTTTCGGTAGATGAAAAGAGTGGGAGATTAGATTGTTAACGTTATTTGATTTTCAACCTGTGTTTCATATACTCATTGTGAATCTCTTCAAGGGATGTGCTAAAGGTAACTGAGAGCAGCAAAGCTATTACCCAGGCTTTAACTCAGTAAAATGCACTGGTTCTGGGCAGGAGGAGGGGTTCACAAATGCAAAAGCTGAGAATCACTACGCTGGAGTATCACCTTCCATTCACGCGTATTTGTTGTGCACTTAGATCCAAGCTTGACTCGTGGCGCTTGGTATCTCAGACGAAGCTCCAGGTCTGTGTCATAAGATGTTTCCAGATAAACAGAGTCATGGAGTGTCCTGCGTTGCTATCTAATGCTTTCATGACTCTGTGGGGAGCCTGGACTTTCAATTAATTTCATTTCATGTATTGAATTGAATGCTCCTTCCTCTCCCTCCATTCTTCACTCTCAGGGCACAAAGGAGAATTTTTACTTTCCTGTTGATGTTCTATGATTGTATTTAAAAGGAAGTGACATTACTCGAATGCTAATAATCATATTGTTCTTTTCTGCAGAGTTGGTTACGCAGGTGACAACTTTGTTCGCTACACTGGAGATACCATTTCAATGGCACAGACTCAGTGTAAGTGGGGTTTGGTTTTTGTTTGTTTTTTTTTAAGGAAATTGACTTAAAAGACCTAAGTTAACAATGCTTTCTGGCAAAAGAGAAATAAATAATTTTAGATTAAGGCTTCTTTTCAAATTACTACAGAATTAAAGATCATAATTTGAATGCATATGTCATTTTTCAACTAAATATTGAGTGAAACCTCTTGTGTACACAGTGTTTGCTTGGGAGGCTTATGACAAAGGCTCTGAAGTTCATCTTCAAGCAGACCCTACAAAATTAGAGCTACTTTATAAATCCTTCAAAGTGAAAAAAGAAGATTTCAAGGCACAGCAGAAAGAAAGCATCCTAGAGAAGGTAACAGACATTTAGTTTTATTTAATAAGAATTCTGTTGAGTTTGAAGTCTGGGTCTTGGGGAACAAATAAGATTACTAATGCTATGTGAAAATACATCAGCTGTTCTCAGCAGCTTAGATTTATAAAAAGATTTTTATATCTATACACACTATTTCATCCATTGGATTCATTATATTATTTAATATAGGAGCCTTTGAAGATCTGCTGGTATTTCTTTGGATTATTGGGAGCTCTTCCCGTAACTGTCAGAGTTTCTCCAGTGAAAAATCTGACAGCAGTACGTAGGAGGAGTGGTATTTCAGATTTATTTTTATTTAAATAATACAAGTGGTTAAAAAAATTCTTTTACTGTTTAAAAGTGGTGTCTTTTGTAACATATCCAAGTAACTGTTGCCCAAAATTATTTTTAAATTTCTCCTTTTTTCTTAAATGCGAAAAGCAGAATTTTCAGACTCAAGTTTTGGGTGAACTCTTCTAGATGAATACTTAGTTTATATTTTGATGCTCATTTCTTGGACAACTGACAAGAAACTAAATAATCCATTTAGATTGTAACCTTGTCAACATTCAAGTTTGGGGTGGGACAGGAAGTACTGCTCTGGTTGTAACAGAACCTTTTGGGTTGGTCTGAAAAGTTTTCCTGTTTTGAGTGAGGAATATTACTGTTGTAATCCTCCAGACATTTAAAAAAAACCCAAACAAACAAACAAACTACAACACCAAAAAACACCACCATGGACATAGGAGATGTATTTCTCTCTTACCTGTTCACTAAAGATTAAACTGTCTCCATCCACTTCTTTTGTGTCTTCTTCAGAAGGTACTGAATGAGACGTTTCTGAAATGTATGCTTAACTATATAAAAGATGAGGGTTTTTCCAGAACTATTATACGTCGTTTCTGTTTGCGTTTTAGTATGGAGGACAAGAACATCTGGATGCCCCACCAGCTGAACTGCTGTTGGCACAAACAGAAGATTACGTGGAGTACTCAAGGCATGGAACAGTCATCAAAGGACAAGAGAAGGCTATTGCTTGCTCTAAATATGAAGAGGATGTAAAGATCAACAACCATACAGTAAGCCCTAACTTCTGTAAAAATTATTAAAAAATTTCATTCCTTCCCATTGGAAGAAAATGAGATATGGCAGGATACAGTACAATATAATTAATACAGCAAATAAATTTCTCTTGTCTCAAACGTGACACTCTCCCTTTTCTATTAAGGGAGGATTTCAAATTGTCACGGGTGCAGTGTGAATTTGAGAGGTTGTGATGGCAATCTTAAACTGAAGGGAAAGTTACTATATTCAACTTTGAATATGAGTTGACCACATCCTGTTGCTTTTCTCTTTTTTGAAACTGTACCTGTAAGGCTAATGTAAAATTGCAAAAGTATTTCTTACAATTTTCCTTTCTGGATTGTTTGAACAAGTTACTTACCAGGATATAACCTCAGGAATAAATTGCAGCCTGCCTCACACAGGAGTATCATTGTGGACATAACTGCTTTGGTGTCTTTTCTTGCAGTGCATTTGGGGTTCATACTGGAAAGAAGGCAAGTGGGGTTACAAATGCTGCCACTCATTTGTTAAGTACTCGTACTGTACTGGAGAAGCTGGGAAAGAAATTGCTGTAAGTATTGTCCTATTTAGCCACTTGGAAAGATCTAAAAAGCATTTATCTACCTACCTAAGGTTTAGATGGTTTTGCTTTTTTGTTTGTTTTGGGGATTTTTTCTGTCCTTCCCCTTTCAAAAGTGCTTAGTAAGTGGGTATCCTTCCTCTTGTACAGAATACTGAAGCAAGCTTACTGGAAGAGCAACCCAGGGAGGAAGAACACATGACAAAACCAAAAACGCTGATGGAGGTAGGTTGTTTCCTTTTCTCAGGGAAGCAGGTGTTTCTCTTCAGCGTTTTAAGAGATGGAAAGATGTGTATAACTACAAAATTATGTAAGTCATAATGAGTCTGAAAATTATTAGACCGCATTATTGGATCATTAATGTCCGTATTGAAAACGAAGCTCTCAAATAGCATTAATAGACGCTTGGGATTTAATGGCTTGAACATTACTGATGTTTGCAAGTTGAATCTTAACAGTAGCTGGTTTTCCACCTTTCAGATCCACCAAGAGAAACAGAAAGAGAAGAAAAAGAAGAAGCACAAGAAGACCTCAAATTCAGATAGTGAGGGTGAAGAGAAAAAGAAGCAAGAAAAACTTAAAAAGGTGCACTATACTCTTCAGTGGTTTTGTGGCAAAAAACTTGCAATATATTTTACAATGTCAGGTTTATGAAACCTGTAATGCAGTTCTTGTATTCTGTGGGATGTTCTTTGATGTTAATTTTGAGCTAAAGCAAATTTAAAATGCTGTTAGAGGTTCTAAAGTACATTCCCTGTTTTTCAGGCAAACATGCAATAAATATTTAGTTTTGGAAGACTTAGTTTAGAAGATTTAGAACACTTCCTTTCTAGGCACCTATTACAGCTATAGATCCATAAAAGACGTTGCAGAACACAGTGATGTGGGTGTTGAAGAAAGATGAAGAGATCAAAGGCACCGTCAAAACTTAACTCAGCGCTTTTTATCCCAGACTTGCGCCCAGTCTCACAATTGATGCAGTAAAGCCATCCACCCAGCTATCTGCTGACTGCTGCTCAACAGGCCTTCCACAAGGACAGCAGCCTGCCTCTGGATATTCAGAGTGTGAAACTAATGTATTTCAAAAAGCATTTTTAAAAAAAAAAAGCACTCTGACTGGAAAAAAAAAATCCAACAATTCAAACCCCTAAGATCACATGCTTGCTTACCTGCTTTTGTACTTGCTGGATCATGATTACGTTTTAGGTAAAACCAGGGAGTTTTTTAGTTGATTTTGGCAGCTGGAAAGAGATTAAATTATCTTGTTTGCTAATTACCATTTCACCGTCATTTTATGTTAAACAATAAAAAATGAGGATTAAAGGAAGCATGCTGCAGGTGAGCCAGATGTGCATAGGTGAGCCAGATGTGCATTCCTCATCCGACCATTCTGCGGGCTGCCTGTTCATTGTACTAGAATCTAATACAAACACTTTTTTTTTTTTGCTTAACTTTCATTGTGTTTGTTTTTCTTCCTTTGCTTTCATTTCAGGCACTAAACGCAGAAGAGGCTCGTCTTCTCCACGTTAAAGAAATCATGCAGTTGGATGAGAGGAAGAGACCATACAACAGCGTATTTGAAAACAGGGAGCCAACGGAAGAAGAAATGGAAGCCTACAGAATGAAACGTCAGAGGCCTGATGATCCGATGGCCTCTTTTCTTGGACAGTAGTCACGGTGAAAATCATTCCAATACACAAGACGTTTTTTCATGCTTGTTTATAACTCCGTAGACACTTGCTTATCTTCCACATGTCTAATTAAAGTGCCATAAATGGCAGAGACTTTTTTTTGCAGCAAAATAGTTGGTGAAGACTTCTTTCCAGACATAAGCAGTCCAATACTTCCAGCAATTTTGTATGTGTATGTATATATATACAGTCACAAAGAGATATATATACACACACACACATATGTAAATATATGTATATATAAAATAAGTCCACCTACTCTGTAAATTCTTTACGGTAAGAGAAAAGATTTGATACTGGCTGGAATTGCAGGTTCATTTGGCCAACTAAGACACACATACAGTGATGAGACATTCACTGAAACTGACTACTCAAAAGAAATGGTCAGCAGGTGTCACTGTTAATATAGAACAAAAATTGTTGAAAAAAATTTGATATTGCTACTGAAGCCTCTTGTTTGTAAAGGGAGTTGCCTGTCACATGGCTTTGAAAGGAGAAATAGTTTCTTTCTTGATCACTTTGTAGTAAGTATTTTGGAAATGTAAAAATTGATTGCTTTGTACAGTTTTGGTTAAATTAATATAAAGGTCTTAAAATGCTGTCCAGCCTTTTTAATGAAGAGGTTAGGAGAAGCTGGCTGTAGAGCTTTTAAATTAGAATTCTGCTTCTGCAGATGTTAACATACAAATTTCAGTTGCAGAGGATGAGTTCTTTGATTTTTCTGTTTGTAACAGTATTCATCTTTCCCTTACAACTTCCAGAATCCTGTTACACAGTGTAACACCAAGCGTCAGGCTCTAATACCTTATGATAATGTGAAGCAGCATCTGCTTTGTGTTTGGCAATATTAGTCCTTAAACTAGGTGTTTTCTCCTTTAACTACTAAAAGTTGAAGACATGGGTGAAAAACTTCACAGCATGACTTTAGAGTTGGAAGTCTTGAGAATTATTTCTGTTGTGGCTTAAGCAGCCATATTAAACACAGCTTTTATAACCACATTTAATGTGGTTGTTTTAATAGTAAGATAAGGAAGACTCCATAATCCTGGCTTTTCTTCTGAAAATTAAGAACCTAACTACAATTTCCACTCTGTAAACAATGAAGGAAGTTAAAGTTACTGGAAGAAAATGAAAGGGTATGTTATGCCTGTAACATGTTGTACCTGCAATTTCCACCTGTAAAGCTGGTTTCCCTTTTTCATCAGGTTTTCTCCAAGGCTGCTTCCCCTTTATTTTTGTTACAGAAATACTAATTCTGAATGCAGACTTTATTTTATAAGACTTACAAATCTGACTGAAGAATTTTAGTTTATAAAACTTGATGTAAAAATCCTCCTAGCACTTGCAAAAAAATAGTCAAAGATCTGGGTTGGAATCATTAATATAACCAAGTACCAGGAAAGAAAAACTTTAAGAGTAGAAAACAGCTTTTGCAGAAATTGCTTTTATGTTTTCACAAACAGTGTGGATTTAGGCAGTCAGGGACAGACGTTCTAAGTTTCCACATCAGCTCCTGTCTTGACCTTTCTAGGTTATGGATAATCTCAAGGGAAAACTGCTCTTTTCCACGAGTAACTACATACAATAAACATACAGTTCAGTGCCATGTGTGTGATTTCACAGCCTCTTTGAGGATTGAGGATTTTAATTTAGCATACAGAAATGCTAATAATGGAATTTCTGCATTAGTCTGCAGTATAGTTCTAGATTAAAACTATCTGTGCTACTCTCTTTGATGATCAAAATTTTAGGTTGAGTATTGACTGTGTTCCAGACTTCTTCTGATATGACCTGAGTGCAAACTGTCCTTGGATGATTTTTCTGAATTAGCTGAACTGTAAACTATTACTTTTCTCAGGGCTGTAACATCTGAAGTTCTGGCCAGCATACCTCCAGCTGGAGCAATACCAACTGCTGTTGTATTGGTCAGTACCAAGTTCAGCTTGAGGGAAGATGAGGTGTCAGAAGGGTCCATGTTATCAGTTCTACCAGCAATTCAGATACCTTTCTCAAAGTAGCTAGAGACTTGATCCTTCATAGGGAAAGGAGGCAATTCAGAAATAATTCTGAAAAGAGCCATTTAGAATGAAGAAGAATTAATTCACCAGTCTAGGCAGCCTGTAAAGCTTAGGTTTAAACTCTTGTTTAGTCACTTTTTCTTACATTCAAAAGAAAAACAGGGAGAGAGTTAAAGGTGCCTGTATTTTAGAAGCCAGTATGACGTGTTCAGTGCTAGAGAGAGATATGTTTATTACAAATAAACGTACTGAATTCCACCTTAGGCATACTCATGTGGATGGATTTTCTTTTCACTACCAGAAGACATGACTGTAAAACCTTTTTTCTGGCATGCCCTGTCTCGCTCGGCGGAGAGAGCACTGGTGGGGAGGATGGACCAGTTTCCTCTCTGGTGAAGCAGGAAGGCAGCTGCAGGGCAAAAAGCAATTAGTAGTGTTTTATTCAAAATACAGTTCCTTGAGCTTATGAATGATGGAGAGTGGATCTCATCTGGATCAGTCTCAACAGCTAAAGGATAAATAAAGCTTAAAACATGTTGTCCTATTTATATCATAAAGGTTAAATGTTAAAGAACATTGTGGATCTGATCATGAGGATTAATTTTCCTCCATCTGCTTCCCCTTGGATTTGGCATGCAATATAACTGTGCATATCCAAAGACTGCTTCCTATTGCACAAGAAGAATTTTTCTTTTCTAAAATGAGTTTGAAACAAGTTTGTAGGCTAGCTTGGACAAAAACAAACAATAAAAATGAGCATACTCAGCAGAGGCAGCTGAAGTTGAGAACTCCCGTTTCTTGTGTGCACAAAGAAGCAAGGCGAGAGGAGACACCTTGGCCTGGTAACACAGAAGAGTCATATTCTGAAATCGTAATGCGTGACAGACCCTCCCAGCACAGTCAGGGTGGCTTTTGCTGAATCTTGCCCTTGGCAAAGCTCAAAAATTATTTCCTCAACTCCCTTTTCAACAGTGGCTCATTTTTCATCCTGTTGAGCTCTGGTTGTCCGAGGCACGCTCAGTGTGCAAACTCTGCACTAGCCAGCTGATTTGAAGACGTTTGCATTTTTAAAACACGCAGGTTAAAACATTCTCCTTTACTTTTTACTGAAAAGTGTAGGGTTCTGTGTTATCTTTCAAGGCATGCCAGAAGGTAGTTCTTTTACTGTCTCCACATTTCTTTGTAATTGGATCTTTATGGCTTCCTGAGTGGGTTAATGAAAGAGATGCACTGTTCTGCATGAGTGTAATTGTTTTAGGCTGTTGAGGGATCA